ACATAACTACACATGTTTTGCAGTTTCTGGTAATGCTTCCTTAATCCCTGAAAAATCACTTAACCTCCAAATCCTCAATTTCCCCCATTTTTAAGGTAAGAATAACAATGAAAATCAAAGATACAATTAATTTAAAATAACATTAAAAAACAATACCACTGGCAAAAGTTATATCATTTTGAAGGAAAGATTGAAAGAAAAATTAGTCATAATGTTTGCTAGACGTGGCAAGGCTGACTTTATTTAGAACAAGATATAAATGTAGGTAAAGGAATAACTATGTGGGGGTTTTGTAATGAACAAAATAGTTTGACTTGAGTGCCAATATCAAAATGAAATGGGCAAGTGGATGTTTATAATCAATGATGGGGCCTGGTGTCAGTAAATGGAAAATAACTAAAGGGGAATATCAAAGTTAAAGAGTTTCCAGATAAACTGATTGGTAAGGTAAATAAGGAAGGTAGACCAAGGTAGTCATGGGTGGCAGAGAGTCAGTAAACTGATTGGATAGAATTGTTGCTCAAATCTGATTGAACAAGAGCATAGAGGTCAAAGTCAAGCTGAGCGATCAGAAGAACCCAGCTCAAGTTTCTACCAGAGGGACAGGCTGTCAACATCTTAATCCTTGTCAAGGATAATATTATTAACATCTTTGATATACAGTATTTCTAGGTTTTGGTATCATAGTGCCTACACATTTGCTTATGTTATAGAAAGTGGAACTGGAAATTGAACTCAAGTCTGTTTGCCCTCAAAACTTAAGTTAACAGCCTTTCCTTATGCCAATTTCTTGCTTTAGATGCCATCTTTTCAGGTGTGCAGACAACACACTTCTCTAAATTATACACTTCCCATAGTTGATCCAAGGTCTAACTTCAAAAACAAATCCACTCTGCCAGCCTTCGGGATCTTTGGCCATAAAAGGGGCACTGATGTGTTCTGGCAGGTTGATAACCTATTTCTTCATCCTTTTTATAATATCTCAGTATCTACCCAACCATAAAAGGCTCTCTAAGTATTGGTTCATCTCTCTCTCTTTCTCTCTCTCTCTCTGCTCTTCTCCCCTTCTCCCTTTCTCCTCCATAACCCACTAAATAAATATCCAACCTCACTCTGCATGACATGCCTGTCCATCTGTCTCTTGCCTGCCATCACTTGGCTCCCTGCCAGGGACCAGCTGCCTTTGGAGACCTTCGGCATGGTCTCATGGACCACTACAGCAGCCAGGAATCCTGCAACATTTTACTTTTAGCATTACACATGTGACACATGGGTAATAGGTGATGCTTAAAATGGCATAGAGATCCGCATAAGGCAGCACATGACTGTAGCTCCAGCTACCTGAGAGCTTGAGGCAGGAAGATTGTGATTTTGAGACAAATTGGGAAAAATCAAAGAGGCTATTCACATTCACTCGAAGTAGAGAAGTGTTCTGGAAAACAACTCATCCTCTCTGTTCCTTTTCTCCTGTAACATCCCTGGTGACAGCGCATGACTGTATAAGCATAAGGACAGCACACTGGAGAACTGATGGCCCCTATTTATTCACCTCTACTATCTGCTGGCACCAACAGGCAAAGTTCCATTTACTTCTCATGAGAGCATGAAATTGCAGAATTGAAGCTAGGGAGGTGACAGACAAGCTCATACAGCCAGAAACCAAGTTCATGGGCTCCAGACTCTGTACCATGACATACTACACCTAGAAACCCAGTAGAGCCATAACATGTCTGAGCCTGAAAGAAACAAGGGACTCACCTCAATTTTTGGAAAAGGAAAATTGTGTTGTGCTTAACTTTATCAGCTAAAATGCAGTTTTTTGCACTGTCCAGTTCACCTAGACTAAGATGAGATTTCAAGTTAATAAATTGTTTTTTGTGAGATATGACACATACTTCTCCGTCACCTAGAACAGTAGGATAACCCAGTGAATTAGCTGAGCTCCAGGAAACCACAGATTTTCTGCCCATTCTACCTTGGTAAGAGTCATAGTTTTTTAAGAAACTATGCATTTTCTGTTTCTAATTTTCCCCACGTGTGTTCCTTCAGTAGCAAAGAATTTGGGGAGGGGAGGGATGTTTCGAGACAGGATTTCTCTGTAGCATTGGATCCTGTCCTGGAACTCACTCTGTAGACCAGGCTGGCATCAAACTCACAGAGATCCTCCTGCCTCTACCTCCCCAGGGCTGGGATTAAAGTGCGTGCCACCACTGCACAGCAAGAATATTCTTCATAAAGAAACTTGGTGAATTCGATGGTGGCGAGTATTTTGTAAGACAGCTTTTCATGTACACAACTCAGTGTTTTTCATGTAGTTACAGATATATACCTCATCACAGTGAGAAGCTGTATGCTAGCAACCACACCCTTATTTAAGCATCCCCTCAGCCCTAAGCAACCACTAATGTACTTGCTGTTACTATAGTTTTGTCTATCCTGGGTATTTCATATAAGTGGATGCACTTGTGTGTGGTCTGTGTAATCTGTAGTCTGTGTGATTGATGTCTTTAACTTTTAATATGGTCACAGCACATATCAGTGCTTCATTCCTTTTTATGGCCAGATATCACCTGTTATATTAACAGATTATACTGTGTTTATCCAGCAGTCCATGGACATTTGGACACTGAGCTATGTCCACATTTAGTCATCATAAAGAGTATTGCTATGGGGCTGGAGAGACGGCTCAGTGGTTAAGAGCGCTGGCTGCTCTTCCAGAGGTCCTGAGTTCAATTCCCAGCAACCACATGGTGGCTCACAATCATCTATAATGAGATTTGGCGCCCTCTTCTGGCCTGCAGGCATACATGCAGGCAGAATACTGTATACATAATAAATAAATCCCTAAAAAACCGAGAGTATTGTTATGAAATTCATGTATGTTTCTGATTGGATATTTATTTTTATTTCCTTTGATTATTTATCAATGATGGGGACTGCTAGATCATAAGATGACTCTGATTCTGAGAAACGGCCAAGTCATTTCCTACAGAAAGAGGTATCCTTTAACATTCCCATCAAAAACTTAAGAGAGTTCTATTTTTTCCTTACCCTCACCAACACAGGTTATTTTCTGTTTAGTGAGATTTAATTAAAATTAAATTTTAATAGCTTTATTTAAAATAGTATCGTATCCATCAGAATAAATATTTAGTGGCATCTTGCCTTGGGTTTAATTTTTTTTTTTTTGATTTTTTCGAGACAGGGTTTCTCCGTAGTTTTTCTGTTTTTTTGTTTTTTTTTTTTTGGTTCCTGTCATGGAACTAGCTCTTGTAGACTAGGCTGGCCTCGAACTCACAGAGATTTGCCTGCCTCTGCCTCCCGAGTACTGGGATTAAAGGCGTGTGCCACCACCGCCTGGCGGGTTTAATTTCTCTAATCTCTAAAGGTATTGAGATTTTTTTTCCATTTGTTTGCCGGTAATTTATATGTCTTTGTGAAAAAACATGTATTTCTATTTTTTCCCTTCTTAATTGGATCCTTTTTGTTGTTGTTTTTGTTGTTACTATTGTTTAGTTGGAAAGGTCTTTATATATTCTAGATTCTAAGGCCTTAACAAATCAATGATTTTTAAACATTTCTTTCCATTCTGTAAGCTGTCATTTTATTTTATTAAGCTTTTTTGAGTCAGCCTACTCTGTAGAGAGAGTTTTAGGACATCCAGGGTTAAACAGAGAAGCCCTGTCTCAAAAACAAAGACAAGAGAAAACAAAAAGTTGAGTTTTCCAATTTTGGGGAGTACAGGTTTTCAAAATATGACCTGATGATCCTCTGTATTTCCTCCGTGTCTGCTGTTGTGTCCCCCTTTTCATTTCTGAGTTTGTTAATTTGGATATTCTCTCTCTGCCTTCTGGTTAGTTTTGATAAGGGTTTGTCTATTTTGTTGGTTTTCTTGAAGAACAAGCTTTTTGTCTCATTGATTCTTTGTATTGTTTTCTTTTTTTCTATTTTGTTGATTCCAGCTCTCAATTTGGTTATTTCCTGCCATTTAGTTCTCTTAGGTGAGTTTGTTTCTTTTTTGTTCTAACGCTTTCAAATGTTCTGTTAATTCACTAATGTGAGGACATCTTTACTTTTAAAAATATGTGTATCTGAGGTGTGTACATGTATATGTGTATCTACAAGCACATGCATGTTTGTGTGTCTGTGAGAATTAGGTGTGTGCAGAAGTCAGAAGGTAACTTTAGTTATAGCTATTCACCTTCCCCATTGTTCAAAGTGTCTCTTGTTCATTGCTGCTCATGCAACGCTATCTGGCCTGGAAACTTCTGGGGATTCTCCTGCCCGTCTCCATCCTACTGCAGACACACAGCGATTACAGATGTGCACCACCACGTCTGGGGATTCTCCTGCCTGTCTCCATCCTACTGTAGACACACAGCGATTACAGATGTGCACCACCACGTCTGGGGATTCTCCTGCCTGTCTCCATCCTACTGTAGACACACAGCGATTACAGATGTGCACCACCACGTCTGGGGATTCTCCTGCCTGTATCCATCCTACTGTAGACACACAGCGATTACAGATGTGCACCACCACGTCTGGGGATACTTCTGTCTCCCATCTTACTACAGACACACAGCAATTACAGATGTGCGCCACCGTTTCTGGCTCTGTGCATGTTCTTGGTGTCAGAACTTTGATCCTTAAGCTTGTGCAGCAAGTGTCTCATTCCCTGAGCATCTCCCCAGCCCCTTGGGCATCTTTTCTTGAGTACTTCTTTGTGAGATGTCAGCTGCCCCATTCCTTAACAACCCTTGTCATGGGTGGTGTAGCCACAGGCAGGCTTTACATTTTCTCCTTTCTCTGGGTTCTAATGGTTGCTTGTGTTCATCTTTTCTCTCTCCTGCAGGCCCAGAGGTCACTTCCCAGCACTGGTTCCTGACTGGGAGAAAGTAGGTGAACACTCACAATATTTTCAGTTTCTTAAGATACCATTTAACAGAATTTAGATATGAAAGATCAACAAGAGCCACTTTGTGCCATGGACACAGTTATATATTTATTGCATTGTGTGGATTGTAACAAGCAAAATGAGGCTTAGTACAAATCCACGACCCGTCTCAGAGAGCCGACTTTGGCATCCACGGCGCCCCAGTCGTGGTAGCGTCTGTAGTCTCCAGGTCTCAGCAGGTACTGCCGGCCCCGGTAGTTGGGCATCTCGTAGAGGACCCAGCAGCCTTCCAGCACGTTCAGAGAGTAGATCTCACTGAGGCGGAAGTGATCGCGGATGCAGGAGCAGTCTTCCGTGAGCTCAGACACAAGGCCCCGGTAGTCATCTCTCTCGTACAGCCTTATCCTGTGAGAGCTGGTCTGTTGTGATGACCAACGACAGGGAAAAGCAATGATTTATATGCTTGCTATTGCAGCCTGCTTGCACCTCCAGAAAACACGGGTTCCAGGCGATTGTGTCAAGCATGCTTCTCTCCTAATCCTACTGCGTGTGCTGTTGTTCTAACGAATTAGGAAATGCACGAACATAAAGCTGACTGAACCGTGAACTGGAGGCCTTGCGGAGGACACTAACACCAAAAGGCAGAGAGTGAAAACATTTACTGCCCATGTAACAGAATCCTACCAAGCTTGCTTTGAAGTCACCTTTTGTACATATGGTGTGTAATGATGCAGATTTGTTTTGAGTCCCTATACCTTTATTCTTCTCTTTCTTTAAACACACACACAGGAAATGTGAACTGTATCTCATGAAATCCCTAATTACCTGTCTCATAAAAAACGAGTCAACAATGACTCCTGCAAAACACAAAGCCACACAAATTGAGACCCATTGTTCTAGGTGAGTGTGAGAGTATATAGAGAGGAAAAATCTCACCAATACAGCCAGATTACACTAGAATTAACCAAATTTAATTGACTGCCTTTCAAATGTACTTATATATTTTTAAATTGACAAACAGTGTGTGTATATTTATTTGGCATAGCACGGTGCTTTAAAGTATTTAAGCACTGTGGTTAAATCTGCCTAACTAATATATATTTACCCCACATAATTATCATTTTGTGGTAAGAACACAGAGAATCAATTCTTTCAGTGTTTTCATTGTGTATTTAAGATGTATTTATTTCTATTTTATGTGTATGAGTGTTTGTTTGTGGGTATGTAAAATACTACATGAGTTGTGTTTGGTGCTCATGGAGACCAAAAGAAGGCATGGGATTCCCTGGAACTGGAGTTACAGACAGTTGTGAGCCACCCGTAGGTGCTGGGAATTGAACTCAGGTCCTCTAGAATGGTAGCCAGGGCTCTTAACCACTGGGCCATCTTTCCAGCCTCAGCTTTAGCATTTTTAATGATTCTAATACATAGCATGAGCTGTCATTGATGTGCTATAAAACAGATGTCTAGGACACAGTTCTTCTCTCTAGCTGTGAGTTTTTAATTTCTGATCATCACTGCAAACCTCTGGTCCCCACTCTACCACGCTAGCCTTAGTAAGTAGGGCAGAACTGCTGCAGAGGGCAGAACTCAGGGCTGCATCTCGGCAAGCACGCTACCACTGAGCTAAATCTCCAACCCCATCTCCTCTCCCTCCATGAACCTGCGGCTTTAGAGAACAGGTGGCCTTTATCATTACAGGCCTGGCTTATTTCTTCCAGCACAGTGCCCTCTAGGTTCACCCATGTTATTGCAAATGACAGCATTTCCTTCTTTCACGGGTGAAGGGAATGTGATTATTAAACCAAGTTTAACTTTACAGATCATGCTATGGTTTTTATGTTCTAAAACAACATTGATGTCCTTAAGTAAGAGCATATATATCCATATTCCTTCTATTTAGGTTTTAGAGTCAGGCCTTGATATACTTAGTGCGAGCCCTTGTCGAGCATTCCCGTCCTTGCCGAGAACACTAGAACATGAGTGGAAACAAAGTCACCAACAGGAACAGCTGCTGTTCTCACACCAGTCAGGCTGAAGCAATGCTTACATAGGGAAGGGAACGGCAGGAGCAGATGGAGTCGCTGAGGCCCATCCACTGCTGGTAGTCAGGGTAGTCCCCGCGCCTCAGGAAGTACTGGTGGCCCTGGTAGTTGGGGCGCTCATAGAGCATCCAGCAGCCACTGTCCACCCGGATGGAGTTGCAGCGGCTGAAGTAGGGCTGCAGGTTGGGGCAGTCGGTGCTGCATTCATAGCAGCGGCCCTGGAAGCCGCGGTCCTCGTAGAAGGTGATCTGTAAAGGGAAAACAGGTGAACATGGTCAACTGGAAGGCACATCCCCGACATGGGAAAACACGGCAAACCTGGAGGTTCTTTCTTGGCTCACCTTTCCCATCGTCGTTGACAGCAAATGACCAGTGTTGAGTGTGATGGGGACAGGAGTGGCAGCTGATATATATATATACAGCAGGATGGCTGCTGTGTTGGCAAGAACAACACAAAAGGGGGCCGCCGGGGGTAACGCGTGAGGGGAATTCTGTGTTCTCCTGCTTTTTCATTTGGGATCATGGGGTGGGGGCTCACATTCTCTCTGGCATTTTCGAGTTGTCCACCCTAACTCCAGTGAAAGGAATTAAAGTCAGCAGAGCCATTATGACCTTGGAGACAAAGGGCGCACATCGCATCCTATGCGGCTCTCTAGAAATACTTTACGGACCCAGCAGTTCGCAGTGTTTGCCTACAGAAAGTGCTGAGGTGGAGGCTGGGCTCCATCTGTGCTCATGAGAATCATGAGCTTCAGAAGCACTCTGAGGCACCAAGAGTTAGCAGAAAACGAACCAAAATCCTCTAACTGGAAAACAGCTGTGTGTCTTCATCTGTATAATACAGATTTAATTTTTAAAGTTGCACATGTTTAAGATAAAAAGATTAGAACTGTGTAGAGACTAAACATCAGCTGTGGCCATCAAGGCATGATAAGTTTATATGTAGGTCCTCATATTGTTTCTTCCTTTTCAAATTAAAATTTTCTTAATTTTCTATTATAAATATATATTGCAAATTCAGTGGGTGAAAGTAGTAAAATTAATTTTTAAATGTGTGATTTTTGAGTTGAGAGTTAAAAGCATATATATACTTCATATATATATATATATATGAGACTAAACACTTCTTGGTCTAAAACTAGTAGATCAGCCAAAACCCAAGGCATTCTCATCAAGAAAGAAAGGCACAGGACTTTCCGTTCTTCTTGTCACCACCTTTTTTCTAGGGTTATGTTTTTTTTCTTAAAACCAGTGCTATGGTTTGTCTGCATTTTCCCTCACCAAACTGTCAGTTTTCCTGAGCCAGGATGGCCGCCATCAGAACTTCCTTCTTGTTGCCAGCTGAGCAGGAATGGAGGATCATCAAATTTTGAATTATCGGCTGTTATTTCACCCTATGTATATGTAAGAAGTGAAATCAAACATAATTTTGCTTCATGCCCATGCGGGGACTCTCAAAGGATACCCAACTAGAGTTAGCAATGCGGGCCCAGCGTTTGCATGAAAATCCTCAGCCATCGCTCACTGACATGTCCGGATGGTGGAAGCACAGACAGCAAGAAGTGTCTTCTCACGGCCAACAAGCTGCACAGAGCAAACTGGGCCAAGTCCCCGGCAGCTGGAGTCGTGGCAAGCAAGGATCACAGGCCACCGATTTCCTCTGCATCTGTCCTGTGTTCCAAGCAGCCTGGTCAGCCTCAAGTACAGCTGTGACCAAGCGCTATGTAAGAAGGCTACATTGACCTCCCCAGCCACAGCCTTGCATGAGAGGGCACCACTTCTTTTCAGAAAAGGTCAACAAACTCACCTGACTTTGCCTGTGGCGCTGGGATTATTCTGCAGAAGGCTGGCCAGCCCAGTCCTTAAGGAAGGAGAGGTACAGTATGTTGCCATTCATCTGATGAAGCTGGTATTGAAGCTGGTTAAACCATGTGCCTTGTCATCATTTGGGAAGGACGCACAAAGAGAAGCACCTTTCTTTTCCTAGTGGTCATCACCAGAGAAAGCCAGCATCCATTCCTCTTTGCAAACTTTATTGAATGTAAACTTATGAGCTTACATTTTCTCTATTTGGAAGAATGCTAATGAGAAAATAATTCTATTTGGGGTTAACACTTTGGAAAACCACCCCCTTCCCCAGCATTCTATGCAATATTTAATGCTACACATTTGCTAAAATGTGTATCAATACCAGACTGTCTAAACCCACCCATCCAGGAACAGTGAGCTCCCTACAAATTCTCCAGCAGCTTTCCAGGCATAAAATGAAAAAGCATAGGATATACACATTTTTTTCCTTTTGCCAAAATATAGGTGTGCAATATGCTTCCAAGAGAAGAAGGCTACGGGCAGGCTTGAGAGTCAATGCCGTTTACAGCAATGGCTGACTGCAGAGAACGGGTGTGCTGGTGACGATTGCGGCTTTAAGGCGAAGCTTCCTGTCTGCTCCCAGAGACTCTGTTATGCACCCACGGTACTAGTTCTCATTTTTAGGTGACCTGTAGAATGAGAGGATGGTTTTGGTATCAAGTACATCAGTATAGCACAGACACACAAACTAGCTTTCTATCGATAGGAAGTTAAAGTCAAACACCAGGTACCAGAGATGGGTTAGATCCGTGAAGATGTAAAAGAATTTCCATGGGACATTCTGAAATATCTGAAAATGAATTATATTTCTCAACTGACTGCAGTGTGTGATCTCACAATGGATGCTTAAAAGGGATGTTATTTGGGACATTGAAAACATGCTATTTGGGTGACAGATCAAATAGTGGTGCTTTAGATTCTGGAGTTAATAATTGGTTTCTTAAGAGAATGCCTTTGCTTTTAGGAGCTTCAGAGTAAAATATGCAGGCTAAGTTGATAGGGTATGCACAAGTTTTAATAGTTCAGAAAAGATTATCAATATCCATATACACAAACCAAACCACTGAAGGGCGAAGAAAGAAAGAGAACGCATAAAGCTGGTGGAACACACAGCAACGCGAGATGGCGAATCTGGGTCCGCTGTACCGCGGCAGCATATCTTTAAGCTTGGAATTGTTTCCGAATTAAAATTAAAAACCATGAAAGTCAAACTTCTTTGGATTAGCATTCCCTAACATCAGTAGTTTTCTAGTGCTGTGCTGGTAGCGTATTATTTTAAGGTTTTGCATATATTGCTTTGTATTTAAGTCTAAATTCTCCTCCCTCTATCTGGCTTCCTTCTGCAATGCCATGGGTTCTCTGGGAATGGGAAGAGAAGGAACAGGTGCCTCTCTGCTTGGTATGGTCTTAGTGACTCTGAGTATTTATATGTACATTGGCTCATTTAGTGCTCAAAACAACCCAGTGAGGTTCATAATACTCTCTCTTTTATAGGACAGAAAGCAAAACACAGAGAAACTAGTTGTCCCAGGGAATGCTGCTCACATCCATTTTGATTCAAATAAGCCACCAGTGCAATAACAAGAAATCCTTGAGAGTTTCCCAAAACAACTGGGAGTTTTGAAAACAGTTTCTGCCTTTCTCTTAGTTCAGAAGAAACTCAGTGGCTGGAAATGAAAATAAAATTATGAAGAAAGAATTGTTTTAATGCTTAAAGGTTTAAAAAGAGGGTCTTTTTTGTCATCTCAAAGATATGACATTGTATCTATAAGTCATAAGGGAAAATGATGAGTCCCAAATATTTAAAATAAAAAAGTTCCTCAAAAAAAAAAAAAAAGAAGCCGGTCAGTGGTGGTGTACACCTTTAAACCCAGCTCTTGAGAGGCAGAGTCAGGGGGGATCTTTGTGATTTCAAGACCAGTCTGGTCTACAGAGCGAGTTCTTGGACAGACCTTGAGGCTGTAAAGTAAACCTTTAATCTGGGCCACACCTTCTGCTGGAAGTGTGTCACTGTGTGTTTGGGGGGGGGGGGGGCTTTGAGGTCTTTCTCTCAAGCTTCACTCAGTGTGACAGTCAGTCGACTTCCCGTCACCTCTGAGCCAAGATGTGTAGCACTCTCCGCTCCAGCACCACATCTGCCTGCATGCCGCCATGCTCCCTTCCATAGCAGACTGAGCCTCTGAATTGTAAGGAGCCACCACAATTACATGTTTCCTTTATAAGTGCCGACACGGTCATGGTGTCTCTGCATGACAATAGAAAGCCTAAGACAGGCACACTGACCAAACTGGTATCTCTTTATAAGTGCTGATGTGGTCATGGTGTCTCTGCATGACAATAGAAAGCCTAAGACAGGCACACTGACCAAACTGGTATCTCTTATTAAGTGCTGATGTGGTTATGGTATCTCTGCATGACAATAGAAAGCCTAAGACAGGCACACTGACCAAACTGGTCTTTCTGACTTCTGTTTCATTTATTTTCACCTTATACAATCCGGTTGAGAACCCAGAGCTGTGGTAACTATAGTGACAATGACAACTGCAGCAGAATCTTTCTACTTTCCCTCCAGCCCTGTCTACCTCTGACTAGTCTTTACATTCTTCTACATAGCAGCTGAGAACTGGGTGGGTGGGAAAAAAAAAGGCAGGAGTTGGGAGATGCCATGAAGTTCTCCTTTGTGACTGAATCCTCATCTGGAACTGTAGGTAGATACTAAAATCAGCCACCCCATCTGAAGAAACTGAGAAACAGCTGCTTTGCTTGTGAAGAGTGATTTTCAAGAGTTGAAAGCTAGTCATGTGTAGGGATAAGTCCCGCCCCTTAGGGGGCGTGTTCGCCTTGGACTAATGTTTACCTATAAATCTGGCCAGCGAGCTTGCTTCTGCTTTCCTGGTCTCCGCAGGAACGGTGGTTCTGTAAGTCTATTTCTCCATTAAAGCTGTATATATATATATATATATATATATATATATATATATATTTACAATCTGTCTGCATTTGTTTACGACGTTACAGTCATGGCTAATATTTATTTAGGCTTCACCACGGTACCAAGTACCATTCTCACCATTCATCCAGAATCCTAATTAATCAGTGAGTTACTATTCTCTTTTTTTTTTTTTGGAAGGAGGAACCTAAGGTACAGAATGGTTACTTAGCCTGTTCAAAACCATACAGTAGATAAACAATGGGCTCTGTATTCACACCCAGAACCTTGAACTCCAAATACTCAACGTTCACCACGATAGCCAACGTCACCCCGCAGCATCCGTGTTCAGATGTACCTTGTTCTTGAGCTGTGCATATGAGCATCTTTTCCAGGATTTCCATTCTGAACCATTGCTTTCCTGGTAGAGCCGCTGGAGGCATTTTTTGGCATTGCCCCTCTCCTCGGCTTGACACCTGCAGACATGGAGAATAACCACATCAGAGTATAAAACGTTAGAAGAATGTGTCCACCGTTGTGTTAGATCTTGCCTTTCTGGGCTGCACTGCCGCCCTCAACAAAAGTCTAAGAAATAAACTTTCCAGTTTAGGGTGATGTCGGGGAGGGGAACATCAAGTTATGAGGGGTCCTGGCGTTTGAAACTCTCACCAGATAGAAATCTATCAGTGTTCTCATTTGACCTCACTCGGCAGGCCCGCCTCCTAGTTAACTTTCTCCACAGCCAGAAGGGAGCAGACTTACTCTGTCTGCGGTTGCATTCTGCTGCGTTGGGTGCTGTCAACATGGCAAAAGGGTGCAAGGAGCGGCGGGGCAACAGAGCCGGGGAGACCTGAAAGAAGACAGCTCTGTTTTACAGCTGTGTGAGACTCATGTAGGGAGCACCGGCTACCTATAGCACGCGGCGTGTCTCGCCAACCCGGAGTCCTGGTGAACTGTGCCGATGAGGCGCCCGAAAGGAGGGCGATATGGTCTTCACTTACAGTCTCTGCTCTTGCTTGGCTCCCATAACACAGAAATCCCCTTTGCACCCGACATTCCTCACAGTTCCCTCTCCTGGCAACTTTTCTGCCTTAGACTCTTGCCTTTCCTTTGCCATGGAGCTCAAGTATTCTCTTGTCTGAGTGAGGAACTCCTCCTGGCATCCTGCCCCCGCAAACCCATGCACAGTATAGGCTGGGCATTGCTATGTATGCAACTGGGAAGTTTTTTAACACATTTCAACTCTATCAGCAACCTTTCTAAAATAAAAAATATAATTATATCACTTCCTCCAATTTCTCTTCTCCCTCCAACTCCTCCCATGCCTGTTTGTCTCTAACTGGTGGCATTATTATTATTATTACATGTATATAAATGCATAAATATGCAAATACAACCTGATGGGTTCATTTAGTGAGACTTGTGTGCATATGATCCAGGACTGACTGCTTTGTGTTAAATAACCAGTTAAGAGCCTTGGCCCTCTTTGGGCTGACAAGGGAGGGGGACTTGATTGGGGGAGGGGGAGCGAAATGGGAGGCGGTTGCGGGGAAAAGTCAGAAATCTTTAATAAATAAATAAATATCCAAATAAAAAAAAAGAGCCTTGGCCCAAGTGAGGCTTACTCCTACCTGGAATGTTTAAAAAGCGCTAGTGTGACTGAGTCTAATTTACATTTTAAATTCATCCGGGGCTCAGTTAAAAAAAAAAAACTTGTCTACCATGCAAAGGCTCCTGATTCACTCCCAGCATTAAATACACCACACACACACACACACACACACACACACACACACAATTAAATCAAACAATAAAATCATCTTGACTTCTTTGTGAAGAACACATGGGAAAATGAATGCAGAGAGGCCATTTAATCTCAGGACCTTGGAGTGTTCCTAACGTGTGGCCTAGCAGCGGGACACTTGCTGCTCGTGTGTTCTGTATCATAAAGACACGTTCGTACTCCGCAATCAGCATGTACATGTAATTACCAGCTTAGCACATACACTCTGTTCTTAGGTTGCTTATTCTGAAAAACCCCTTCCACGCCTAGATGCGGCTGGAGGAAGTACAAGGTTGATCCCAGCAGACACTAAGCTGACTCAGCATTTTAAGAGGTGCCTGGGTTCCAGCACCGTCAGCATCGGGAGGAGTAGCAGAGATGGTAAATGAGAGAGGTAGAGATTTCGCTGGTCTTAGAAATGGCCGCCCCGCCGTCACAGCGCGGTCTTCGGTACCTCCTCTGACGGCTTTCTCTTTTTATCTTTCACGTGGGAATCTCCAGTTCTTCAGGAAGGACTTTCGTCCATGGTGTGAGAGGGAGGACAAGAGCCGAACCAGCCCTGTTTGTTGACAAGGTCTCCTTCCTACGCACATCGTGTCACCTGTGTGGATGGTGTGTGGCTTTGCTGCCAGACTCTGCGTGGTCATTTTGGTTCATGGTGATTTGCCCAGTGCTTACGCCATCTGTGCTGTCCCACAGTTCAAGGCAGCTGCCTTCCAGCTTTGACCTCTTTTCTGAGACTGTTTATTCTTGGCTGTTTGTGCTTCCTACTGATTTGATAACTGCTTGTCAATATGTGAAAAGAGTAAGAGAAATGGGCTGAGGGATGAAGGAATTGTGTGTGTCTGTCTGTCTGTCTGTCTGTGTCTGTGGGGGTGGGGACAGAAGGAGGGAGGGAAGGAGTTTGCTAGCTCGCTGTCTGGAGAGAGTTAGTCTCTGGATTACTTTATGGGGAGAGTTGAGAATTTCACAACCACGCATGCTCTACTCCGTGAGTGCTGTAGCTCTCTACTCAAGCCTTCTCTAACATCAGCAGCGTTTGCAGTTGGCAGTGAGAGCCCTCGTGCAGATTGCGTTAGATCCCTAAAGTTTGCAGAGAGAGCCCTTGTGCAGATTCCGTTAGATCCCTAAAGTTTGCAGTGTAGAGCCCTTGTGCACATTGTGTTAGATCCCTAAAGTTTGCAGAGAGAGCCCTTGTGCAGATTGCGTTAGATCCCTAAAGTTTGCAGAGAGAGCCCTTGTGCAGATTGCGTTAGATCCCTAAAGTTTGCAGTGTAGAGCCCTCCTGCAGATTTTGTTAGATCTCTAAGTCTGTTTTCATCTTACAGTCAACATCATCTGCCCATACTTCACTTTCTCTTTACTCCTGGCTTACAGAAAAGAGTTAAGGTTTTACGCTGATCCTACATCCAGCCAACTTTGCTAACCCTGCTTATTAATAAATAGTGTGCTGATTCTTTTGGGCTTTCAAAGTATCCATGATGCCATTTTAAAGAATGACAGCTTCTGTATTCCTGTTGACCTTTTGCTTAATTATCTCTTCGGTCAGTGTAAATTAAATAGGAAGGAGGACAGTGAGCACTATCTATTTCTTTATTATTTTTTTATTTTATGTGCATTGGTGTTTTACATCTTATGACGGTGTCAGAAATCCTGACACTGGAGTTACAGTTTTGAACCGCCATGTGGGGCCGGGAATTTAACCCAGGTCCTCTGTAAGAGCAGCGAGTGTTCTTAACTTCTGATTCATCTCTCCAGTCCCAAAGATTTCTTTATTATGTGTATGGGTGTTCTGTCTGCTTGTCTGTCTGCACACCCGAAGAGGGCATCGGATTCCATTACACGCCACCATGTGGGTGGCTGGTAATTGAAATCAGGGCCTCTGGAAGTTTAATCACTGAGCCATCTCTTCAGCCACAGATTTATTTCTTACTTCAAGGAAGACGCTGCTATTAAATATGATTTTTGCTATGGATTTTAAAATATACTTTAACAGGTGAAGGAAATTTTCTATTGTCTTACTTTGGTAAGTATTACTTTATTGTGATAAAAAAAAATAAAGAACTTAAAAGTATTATCTTAGCCAGGTGGTGGTGGCAAACACCTTTAGTCCCAGCACTCAGGAGACAGAAGCAGGTGGATCTCTGTGAGTTCGAGGCCACCCTGGTCTACAGAATGAGTTTCAGGACAGGTTCCAAAGCTACATAGAGAAACCCTGTAAAAAAAAAAAAGCTTTATCTTAACTATTTAAATATTTTTGGATTACCTTTGACATGAACGGTAATTTTAGGTTTACAGGAAAAATAGTGGGGACTATGTAGGAAACTCACACACACATAGCCTCCTCTCCATCAGTTTTCTGTCCCACAGTGGAACGCTTGCGGCTGTTCCTAAGCATGGGTGGGCACGTCATCACCTAAATGCCAAAGCTGTCCGTTTTTCTCAAGGATAAATCTGCATTTCCTTTTATCAAATGCTTTTCTCGGAACATATTTCTCAGGCGACGGAAATAGCTCAGTTGTCAAAATGCCTACTATATGCACACAAGGGCCCGGGGTTCGGAACCCCAGCTCCCACCTAGAAGCCTCACGAAACATGCATGTAGTGCTCTAGTCGTGGAGAGTGACCACGGATGACATCTATCATCGACCTTCGGCCTCTGCACACGCGTGTGTCACCACAAACATGCATGCGTATATACATACAAACACATGTAGACACAAGGATAAGAAACGGTAAGACGTCTTTTTCTCCTCCCTCAGTGAACACAGTCTATTGTTGAGGATTTTTTTATATTCACGAGAGGTCGGTTATATCACTTCCTTTTCTGTGTGTGGTTTCATCAGGTTTGGAAATAAGGGCTACACTGCCTTCGTATGGATCCTTTGAGTTCTGGGAGTTTGGTGAGGCGGGTCCTTCTCTTATCTCCATGTCGAGGCAGGTGGATTGTAGCCAGCAGTGTTCCTGACTGCAGAAGTGCGGTCACCTACACTTACCCTGCTAAGAACAGCCTTTCAGGGCTGAACACCCTTCAGCCTTCAGGCGCAAAATTAGAAATACCTGCTTGCGACCACATCACAGCCATCTATAACTCATGCCTCGAAAATGTGACCCAAGTGTCTAGTACCCTCCCAAGAGTCATCTTCGTTTTTCTTTTGGGGACAGTTAGACATGATGTTGTACAGATAAAAATCTGTGTCTCAATCCTTCCTTCAAGCTAAATGTGACTACACCAGGAGGCTTCAGCCAGCGAAGCGCAGAACCACGCGCTCTGTGAGATTCGGGACACATCTCCTCTGCAGCCGAGGTGAGCTGGAAGGCTCTCCAGCAACCGTGCTAGACAGCCAGGCTGAAGTCTGTCAATACAGGGAGGGCTGAGCGAGACTGAAATGAGGTCTGTGATGGCGACAGACTGTGTGGAATTGCGAAGCATGTGACAAGTGGGTCATAGTCCCCTGTATCCATAGAATTCCTGTTGCATCATCCAGGAAGCAAGTAAAATAAGCCACACTCACGTTAACCTGCAAGGCTGATTGGCTGATTAGAACTTTATCACTATGTAGCATTGTAGGAATGTTACAGATTCGGAGCCCCTTTATCTCGATTCATCTTTAGTGCTACCCATTCATAGCCCAACTCTGACTTAACGCCTTTGCAGTTACCAGACCAAGAAAACCAAAGCCAACCAAACATACAAACACATCTAAAGAACAACAGCAATGAAACACCTTCAGAATGTACTAACAAACCACTAACTTCTACCCACCTGGAAGCTAAGGATGTCATCAAGCAGTGTCTGAGACCTACGACAGAGACTCCCCAGCTGTGTTGCGACCCACCCACCCGATGTTCCCACCCACGAATTTGGAAAACCCCTTCTTTATAACTTTCCTTGGTAGCATAACTATAAAAACCTCATGAAAGCATTTCCACACGGAAGCACGTTATTTGGGAAACCTCTGTGCCCCTGGATTGTGGTCACTCACATTTGGTTTAAAAACATCATAGCTTGGGCTGAGGAGACGACGTAGGAGGTAAAGCGCTTGCCACACAACTGCAGACTGGAG